CTAGTACAAATGCCATACTGTATATTTTGTAAACATCTTTGGAACCCATCTTTCCATTTATTGCTTTTGTTTGTTTCTAACCCACTGCCACAGTCCAAATAGATAAACAGCTTTGTACACCTTTTGTTTTAATTCACTCAAATGTGTCTTCTGACAGTCTTAGCTAGCTGCATTAGCTTTCTCTAGTAATTCCAAATGGCTGCAGGGAAAGCCAGTGGCAAAAGTATGGCAGATCAAGTGCAAGTTTCCTATCTCACTCACCCAAAAAGGCTCCTCTCAGGACTTCAGTTTGTTTTAATTAGAAGTTTATGGATCCTTCCCTTCCCCCTTTCTGAAGGCAAACACGAACATTACCATAATCTGGAGCCGCACCATTCTGCCAGCAGCAAGTTGCTGATGTAATCAAGGATGCTTTGGCTGAGCAGGGGAGTGATGGGTCTACGAAACTATCAGCTAGATCCATTAGTGCATCTACTCTAATGATCCAGGCAACATTGGAGGTCATCTAGAGGGCACTAAAATAGACTCGAGGGCACTAAAATAGACTCGAGGTACCCTGAGCGGTACAGCCTTACTTTCAGAGTAGCTGTGACAAGACAGATATATGAACGGTATCACAGTGTCAGTAAAGAGCAGACGGGTGTGTATTGATTGAAAATGCAGTGATGGTGAAGGCTGAGGGGTCTATTCGTTCATGTACACAGGTTACTGTAAGAATGAGTATTCAAAATGCCTCTATACACTCTGCATTTCGTATTGTCAAAGTGCTAGTCCAACAGATATGTACAGAAGTAAATTTTTATGGCAAAGTCATAAGGGACATCAAGAATAAGCAAAAAGCGTCTTAAAAGAATAGCTCAGACTTCTGCTAAATTTGTCTGCTAGAAATCTGCTCAGTCACCCTAACAAAAATGTTTCAAACCTTTTTGTGGCCATTTGAGGAATTCTAACACATTGAATATGAAATGCCATGTGCAATTCCATTTCTGAGAGCATCATGTTGCTTCAGGTTATCTGAGGATAACAAACATCTCATCATATGATGCTACATAAAGTGACACAAGAAGCCCTCATCTCACTGCACAAAAAGCATAAAGACAAACATTTCTTGCTGTTTATTTGTTTATTTTTAAAGTGAAAAGCAATAGTTTCCTATGATGACTTGAAACAATTTGTCTCTGTGTATGAATTCTTCCTTCTCTCTTCCTTACCCCTCAACTCGTAACTGTTTCTCTACCAAAATGAGCAGAAGCAGGTAGCCTGTTTCAGGCACCGTGAATATCTGGTGCAGGCAAGATTAAACAGAATTTTCACAAATTAAAGCTGAAGTATGTGAAAAACATAAGGCAAAACATAAGCTATCCATTTCAAGTCAGGTATTCCTTTATTACAACGGACACCAATTGCTTGAGGTAATGATATTAATCGTCAACATGCTGATGTCACCATTATAAGATATTATTATGCATTACATTTGCTATACATCACAACTGTGCATTCTACTTTACAGACAAACCAAAGATATTGTCCCTATCTTGGGGAACTTACAATCCTGGGAAGGGTGGGGAAGGTCCTGCTAAAAATTATTTCCAGATGAAGAGCCTAAAGAGTCGTGTATCAGGCAGCCTGCAAAACAGGGTTTGTAGGACTGGGCCCTAGGACGTACTTGGATGTGAAATGATAATAAATAAGAAATCTTTTGTTTGTTCTGTTAAAACCTCACAGTCTTTGAGATCTTCCTCTTTTTTTAAAGTTTCTGTGGCTGAAGAGAAGAGCAGAGAATTGTTTATTGGTTTGGTTGATGAACTGCATGTTTATAGGGAGACTTAGCGGAAGAGGTGGGGAAACAGCAGATGGAAGATATGACCTGGAATGATAGGGAACGTGATCAGCAGAGCAACCGAAGGGGTAACGCTGAGGTGGGCAGAGTGGATAGACTGATTGGCATGGAGGGATGAAAAGTGACAAGGAGACAGAAGCTATGTATTGCAGGCTTTGAATGAGACATGAAATTAGAATTCGATTTAAAAAATTAAAGGAAGGTACAGACAGGAGGTGAAAAGGGCCTGGCCACAGACAGAGCATGTGCTTCTAAGTGATTCAGATGGAAAGACTGGAGGGTGATAAAGCAAGAGGCCTGGTATCTGTAGATTGTCAAAATGAAGGAAAGAAGTAGTAAGGCCTTGGGGCTGGGGGAATAAAAGTAATAACAAGAATGGAAAGGAATCAGCAGGTCCCAGAGATCATGTGGAAAAGGAGGATAATAAGGCCAATGTAACTACCTGTAGCTACACCAGAGAGGAAAGGCCCGACCTAGTGTCCACTGAATTCTCATGCTGACGTCAATGCGTGCAGGACCAAATCCACATTATAAAGGGAGAGAAGGACCAGGAATAGGTCATGCAATAAAAGGGAAAAGAGCTTAAAAAGACCACTATAGCCCTCAAGTCTGCTGACAGCGTGGTCTGAGATGAAGAGGATAAAGAGGATAGGGATTTCTTGCTACCCAAATGCAAGTCACAGCACAGGTTAGGCACAGAGGCTATTCAATGACTGAAGGTAATTAAATGTAGATGTGAGATTCATAAAAGGCAAGATACTAGAAAGAGGCCTTCTCAGCTGGTCAGTAGGAGGGGAAAGACATAATTCAGAGCTGGACATTTCTTGCCACTCATACCTGATTTTAGAGTGGAGGGCCTAAATACAATCAGTCTTTCAGGCAATATCAGAAGAAAGGGAAGAGAGAACTGCTACCGTTTTGCCCCTTACCCTGCAGCCCCATTGCTACAGCCCTGCAGGAGTAAGGATGAGGGAGCTACAGAGTGGGGATTTCATGTAATCTCCCTTATTGCTTTCTGAAATGTGTTAACAAAAAAGTAGTTAGCAGAGACCAAACGACCCCACAGACAAAAGTAGAAACATTTTAGTACTAGCATTCTGAAGGAATATTCATGCGATTATTTGAGGCAGCCGGATTTACTACAGGTCTTCTCTGATTTTAAATTGTCTGCTGTTGGACTAAGATATACGATACAAATTAAAAATTCAGTGAAATGTTCTACCATACTTCAAAATCAGCAGCATCTGGGGATATCAATGTTGATGATAGCCAGAATAGAAATTCACTCTCAGCCTATTGACATAAGCTCCTCAGGGAATAGGATTTTCAAATGTTTTGCATACAGACACCAAACCAGCACGCAGAATTAACAATCAAAAGAAACCACTATGATGTTGAACAGTTCCTTCACTTCTGCGTTCCTAAGGCATTATGATACTGACTTCCTTTGTAAACTGTTGTGAGATTATTTCCTACAGAGGAAAGCAGACATGTAAATGATTTTTATTATTATTATATTGATGAGAAATGGAGCACTGTCTTTGTTTCCTAGAGAGGAGAATCATTACTCAAGAGGACAATCCTGTTTCTTTCAGAAGACTTTGCAAATGTTTAGTTAGCAATTTAAATTTATCATTTGTCTCTGAGGAAGGTGAATGTGGGTACCTTGCAACAATGAAAATAATCAGTCACAAATCAAGTTTATGAATGACCCCCTTTCCAGTTCATAAATCCCTGTCTTGTCCCCTATCCCCCCCCCAGCTTTATGCAAAGGGTCAAGCATGGTGTAATTCATATCCTGTGCCATAAATCTCACTAGACCACAAGAGGGAGCATCTTTTAGAGGTGCAGGCAACCAGGGAAAGATAAAAAACTACAATTAACAAAAATAGCCACACAGGAGATCTTCAATCTCACAATAAAATAAGCAAAAAGTGGCACTCTCCCAGCCAACTGGGTGTTATTTCAGGTTTTGTAGAGTACAACCAGCAGGTTCAGCCTTCATGATAAACTGGACAACAGGCAGATATTTGCTCTTCACAAAGTATTCTATTCAACAGATATTCCTGTGTTCATTTCCAAATGTTTTTAAAGGTTAACCGTAACGTGTTCTGCATTAAAGTTACAGCCTTAACACCTCAAGCCTGCTAAGCCAAAGGTCATTCATCTTGAAAAGACTGACTTCTTCAGAGAACAATGGCAGGTCAAGTCAATATTATAAAACACAATTGACAGACAAAGGATTCAGCCTGTAAGCTTCTAAGCCACCCACAATAATTCCAACACCTTCTGTAACATTTGTACTTCAAGGCTGGTTTTCCTTTTTTTTTAGAAAACTATTGCTATCCCCTTCCCTGACTTTCTCTAACCTTGGGAAGGATTCTGTTCATATAAGCAGACTGCTGTGAGTTGACGTCTATTGCAATGGATTTGACCTCTCTCAGGAGCCATTAACATAGAATGCTGAATTTTCTGCATCACATGAGTCTGCATGTCCAAACAAACCACCAGTCCCCTCACTCTGCTGAGCAATCATACACTGAAGTAACATGTCCGTGTCAGGCGGGTGTTTTGAGGTATCTTAGGGCCACACACTCATCTAGTAGAAGCAAATATGGGTCTGCCCCCCTCTCTCTGCTGGTGCAGACACTTCTGGTGGGACTGAATGACAACACATTGCAGTTTTTGCAATTTTTTGTAAATCACTGCTTAGTCCTCATCAGTGAACAGGTTTCAGTGGGAATTTCCCCTCTTTCTGGACTTCAAATGGAAGCTTTCCTTAGAACAGATCACCTCATCCCCAGAAACGTTTTTCTCCTTGAAGTCTCACAAAACACAGTGAACAGTCTGGAGGACATTTGTTTGCTTAAATGCCATATCAGTGTGCCCATGAACAGTAAGACCACATGTATGACTGATCTTCCTGGCTGCCACACAGCTGTAAGCCTGATGTTGCGCTCGAGTTCGGTCTCCTAATTGCCTACATGCACCCGTATATCAGCACGCAAGGGGGCGCTACTTTGGCCTGTGCTCTCTGACCCCATTGGCAAAAGTCACCTGCGTGGGATGAGAGCCTGGTGTACACTGGAGTCCCACCCTTCCATGCAGGTCGAACACAGCTGGCACTTTTTTTTTCTGGTCAGGATTGCTGCAACTGGACCGCTGTGATTCAGCTGAAGAATTCAAGTTCATATCAGGTACTACACCTAAGTGAGTCCAAAGTCTCACTTATAATTTCTTGGAGCTGCTGCGATGAATTCACGGAGTCAGAGGAACAAGGGGTAAGATGATGAAAGAACGCAGATCAGACATTGGGGCTTAGGCTCCCTTTGGGATCCTCGTTCCCAAAGCAGGGATATTCCTGCTTCTGCTACCAACCAGGGGAAGAGTTAGGTTCTCTAGAAGAGAAAAGAGGGGACTTCCCTTCCCTTAGGTGTGAAATGCTAAGGACAGCAATGCCTTAGGCATTCAGGTGCATGAATCCCAGCCATGCCTCGCTGAGGTTCTCAGCTGTGACCCTCCTTTTGGAAGTAGGCAAGCTAGGCCTCATTGCTATGAAGTGTAGAAGAAGGCCTTTCCCTGTGCCCTGCTCACGCACAATCATACTTAGCCCAGTGTTCCTGAGAGCAAGAACTTACCTGAGGACAGAGAAAAACAGTTATCAAATTCTCTTTAAGCAATATTAAACCCTTTGTATAAATAATTAAATGTTTGCTGAGCCAGACAGGAGAACGGGAAGTGTGAGAGAGTGATTCTCCAGCCTGCTGATTAGTGTGCTCATCTGGGATGTGGGCAAGTCAGGTCCAAACCACTACTGTAATGAGTAGTTAATTATTCATACAAAACAGAACAGCTTCTACAGGAGAGAGAGTGCAATTATCCAACAGATTGGCTGTAGATTTCCTCTCCTGGGATATGGAAGAGCTGAGTTCAAGTCCCCACTCCAAATCAGGGTGAGAGAGGTTTTGAGAATAATCTGTTACGTCACAGGTGAGTGCTGACAGGGAGCACACAGGTACAGATAGATACTTCTGGTAAACTCCTCCTAATTCTCCTCCCATTGGTGTGACTTCTCTCCTACAATGAAAATTCATATATCATGGTGAGACTTCTTTGTTTTATAAGTATAAATTGTACATTAAGAAAATCATTTAGATTTCCTTTACAGCAGTGAAAAACACAGCAAGAGAGACGTTTTCTGAAAGCAATTCTTCTCATTAATAAAAAATCAGTGAGCTGATTTGCTTTCCAGAAGTTTTCTCTCTCCTATGACTGTAAAGGAGCCTAGATGTACAGTTTGGATGCAGATATATGTTTGAGAGATACCTAAAGTCAGCTGAAAGGAGACCCTCTCAGGGTTACTTAATGCACTTTGCATCAGGGTGCAGCCGGTCATACAGCAGTGGGAGTGCCCTGACACACAGGGTTACGCTACAGTGGTAGAGCCTCCGTGGGGCCGTGGGGACCCTGGGTCCTGCTAAATGGTACATGCTCTTCTTGCAGTACTCTCACCACTACACAACTAAAATTGTTCCTTCCTCTTTGCTCTTTTACTTCTTGTGCTTTTAAAACCGTGTTTGAAATACACATTGCACTAGCTGTTGCTTTTTCAAGGACTCGTACCTAGAACTAGAAAATACCGCTAGCCTGGAAAAAACTGCATAATTGAGCAGTACACATTTTATTTTTGTTTTTATCAGCCTATGAAGTCAAAACAATGGGAGATCCTAATTTATATGGCAATGCCAGTTGTTGGAAGGGCATAGTCCCTCCTTAGTGCTCATACTAAAAACTCCACTAGAATCAGTGAGTGACAGTCCCACTGACATAAACAGGGATGAGATCCACCCAATATGCTTGTGACAGCTCTCTTAGTGAGATTAGCTCAATGTCCTCCAGATGGGGAAGCCACAAGTGAGTGGAATGAAATTTTTTTCTAGGTTGTTTTCAAGTTAACCAAGTAATAAAGTTGCATGACTCTGTAGTCTGCATCATGTCTTTAAATGCGGTATTTGAATATCATTGCCGTCCAGCAGCATATGGAGCAGGAGTTGCTCCTTGCCATAAAGTTTCCTAGGGAAGCAAGCCAGGGAGAGTATTTCGGCAGGAAAGCTTCTGTCCAGTAATGTCATCCAGATGTGGAGGTATTGCAGGGTGGGAATCAGGGGAACAGCTTGAGTCCCACCAGCAGCAATGTGGGTGCAGGAGCTGGGTCAGAAAACACTAGGTTCAGGTTGTTCCCTTGCCTGACTTCCAAGAGACATTGCAGATGTAGCTAGAGGGACTAATGGCAAGGAGTACAGAAGCTACTTTGGCATCTAAAATGATACTTAGGAAGAATTTAGGTATTTAAATCCAAGAAAATAATCCAGGAAGTTCACACTCCAGTAGCTGCCAAGTCTGTTTGGGCTTTGAGTAATTGAACACAACTTATCTATCCTAAAATGTCCATGTTGTAGGAGGCAATATGCACTGGATCTTGTAGTTCTGTTATACAGTGGCTGTGCACACTATGTACTCCTGCAGTAGAGGTTAAAGCTACTTTCTGTCACCTCTCAGCAGCAGATATGAGAGCTGGGCCTCTCTCTTCATAGGCTGCACATGAGTATTTTATTCTCTGCTCTAATATACAAACTCATACTCTACCAAATGATAGTGGGCAGCTTTGATGGCCGTATTTTAAAGAGAAAGAGCCTGGCTCAGTTAGGCAGACAAAGACTCTGAATCCCAAGAAAGTGCTACACCCCAAAGAGGAGCAGAAGCATGGACATAGCTAGGCTTCACACTTGATGCCGCTGACCTCTCTGTAACAACCTCCTCCATGTGCATGTCATTGTGGCTGAGCTTCCTGAGCTGCCTTGTCCTTTTCAAGATGCTGAACCTAGGCTTTTGTTTTGAGTCTCTGATTCCCTCCGGGTGGGCAGTGGTGTGCTTCACTTCCAGGAACGATGAAGGAATCAACTTGCCTGTGGTGATTTCTCTTTGGCCATGCCATAGGTAAAAGCATGGGGTGAATCTACATCTTCTGATCCTGAAGCCTGTTCTTGGGATTCCACACAGCAAGCACACACCCTCCCTCACTGACATAGGAAGGGACATTAGAGCAACTTACTTTCCTTCTTTCTGTATATTTTTTTCTTCATAAATTGTAAAAGCAGTGGAAATACATAAACATTCAGGAAACCATTTGCAACTTTCCTTAGCCTACAATTTTTATGAACACTACTACATATTTTTTGTGGCAATAAATAGCTAATGTGAAAATGAACTACAAAATATATATATCAGGCTATAGGAACTTGCTTTATAAAATTAGTACAGATCTCTTTTCCTATAATAAAACTGAATACATTTAATCATCAGTGTGATTACAGGGCAATTCTATTTCTTTTCCACATCATGTGATTTCATTTTAGATTTGAACAATAAACATGTAGCGTTTGTCTGTTTTTTAATAGATACCATATTGCGTATCCACTCTGTTAGTTGCATAACTTTATTTAAGATTCCTCATTTCTACATGGTTCTCAATTTTTAGGTTTCTTCTTCAAGGGAATTGCTACTCATTGGTGGCAATCGCATTAGTTTCAGCTCAGGGCTGATATCCAGCTGAAGTTGTCCAAGCAAGTAGCCTCTGAATGCCTCTGAAAGCCTCTGAAAGCACCCCTGTATAAATGAATGATCTGTTCTTACGTGAAATGCACTTAGCTGAAATGGTGCGTGGCGTGACATTATTATTATTACACTACGTAGTCCAAAGCTTTTCACTCCATTCTGCCAAAAGCAGGGAAGATGCTTTCTGCAGACCCTGCTTTTGGCAGGATCTGTCAGTGTGCGTCACCCCAAAACACTGGTCCCCAAGTACCACTGAATAACTTTTGCCCAGAATATCTTGCCAGTTTGCAAGGGCGATTTCTTTACTGAATTCTTCCTGCTGTTACTCTTAAAGCTTGATACCTGAAGTTGTACCCATGTACCATATTTAATCTTTGCTTCTCAGGGCTTCCTCTGACAGGTGCTAGTGAAGTCAAACCCAGCAAAGGGAATGTTATTCTCATCATCCACTTGGTGTGCAATAGAGGAGAATAGTTCTAGCATTAGGTGTATATATATATATTGCATAATTATTTCTTTTCTGGAAGCATGAAAAAGTAACTGTCAAATGTTTTCCCATAACATCTATATTGCTCATCCTTCTGAGCACAAAATCTACTTTGGTTTGTTTCAGTTTATGGTTATGTCTGTACTTGACCTTACATGAATCAGCTGTTATTTCAGCTGGTTTTGTCCTAGGCTTTTTGCTTGTTTGCTGATCAATAATACAGTCAAGTTCCAACTGTAACATGACAACATATGCCTGGTAGTTTCATTACTACTAATTCTTAACACTTTCCAATATCTGATTTCATCTGTGAGCGTGCCAAACTTTTGCAGAAACCTTGCACTTAGTTGAATATCACTGTCAGTGGATGTAATAAAAAGCATTACATTTCTCTTAGTTACTTATTACTTTTCCAAAGCATTTAAGATTTTTTTGGATCTTTAGTTTAGCTCAAAATACAGAAGTTAAAAACCATTCTTTGCTGTATGTTCTATATTTGATGTGGCATCTAGATTGCTGTATTTCCTTTATCTATTTCATACTGGTTTCCATGCTTTCCTGGAAAAACACAATTTTTCATAAATAACCATGTATACACATTCCATCAGAGAGTGAAGTATTGCTTAGAGCCATGCCTGAAGTTATTCAATCAGCCACAGCAAAGAAATTAAGCAATGAAATTTATTTCACTTCTGGCACCACACTAAGAGACACACTCAAAAAGACATTTGCAAGAAATAACAGCAGCTTTATTGAATCTACTAAGTTATGTGCAATTCTGCAAATGCTAGTAGATGATGCCATTTACAATAATAAATAATTATGCACTTGCACAGCCTACACCAATGCAGATATCTGGAACTCACAGGACTACTTTTTCTTTCTTGCGTAAGACTGAGATGTTTCTGGCTGCTTGCTCAGATTATTAAAAAAAGATACAGATTAAATAAAAATGAAGTTGAAACTGGCAAGTGGAAATAACCGCCCCTCCCCTGAAGGGGGTAGATTGGTAAATAAGTTTTCATCTGCTCAGCATTAGTGCTATTTTTAACCAAATATTAATCTTTAGACGACAATATCTACCCTGCACTGCAAAGTGACTGAGGCTAAGTTCAGCAGTCAGCTACACTGTTTATCTGAAGAAACCCTCTTGGCCAGCTTCAGGGCCATCCAACTGGTTTACTCAGGGAAATCCTCAGGTGTGCAGCAAGCATTAAACATGCTCAGGGACATGCCCTCCTGTCCTGTGGATGAGCCCCAGAAATCTCTGACTGGCTAGCCACCTCCCTGTGTCCCACCTACCCACGTGGCTCTGCCATGACCTGGAGGAGCAGAAAGCCACTTACCACACGTGCCCATGGTGTTTGGTAGGAGCCTGAATTCACTCTTTGCTCACATTGTCTACTAGGACACTGTGGGGACAAAGAGCAGGATCTGGGAATGCTTCATGCCTTTTCCAGTCTGTTCAGCTCAGACAGGAGCAGGCAGGGCCAACCAAGACCCACATAGGAAGAGAAACATGACCTTTGCTTTCTGGATCTGCCTCTTCTCCACCTTCACTATCAGAACCCCTGGATTTATTTTGTTGCACATTTATTATGAACAAAATTATATTTCCTACTGTATGCACAATTTCCAAATAAATGTATTATCATTTTCCTAGGGTAGAGCATAATAACAGAAAGCCAAGATGGAGTTCTCTGGCATGTGCCCTGAGCTCTGCAACTTCATCTGTACACACACATACATACACACACACACATTCTCCCTAGAGGCCACCAAACACAGTCTGGCACTAAAGAAAAACAGGAGATCCACCTATACCACGGGCATGAAAGCACTGGTCAATGCAAAACACATTAGCAGTGATTCAGTCTCCAAAACCACAAATAATGTAGCGACTTCTACCTCTGTCAAAACTTTAAGCCCAGTTGAGTCATTGGAAATAGCACAGAGTGCTGTGACTAGAGAAACA